TCACCAAACTTTGGCGGCCATTTTCTCACTAGTTTTACCTCTGACATCAGGCAACCCCCACCTTCTTAAATCGAAAATATCTTGACTTCTGTTGAAATTCAAGGGTAGGTTTTTTATTCGTATATTGCGAGACAAATGCACATTCTTTAAGAAGATACTAGTAACTCCGTAGGCCGAAAAATTGAAGAGCGCCTGATTCCACTGTGTTGTGATACAAATGACCCTTATTCTGTTGTTTCTCCTTCTCTTTTCTCAAGCAAACAAAACAAGTGGGTAGTTGGCGGGTGCTCTGTGTGTGGTTTGCTTCTTCTTTCCTATCAAACATCTATCATCCTTTTCTCCCCTCCTTCTTTTTAGGTTTGTTACTCTCTTGTAACACATCTATTCTTCTGGCGCTCATATGACCCTATGCAGTTGCGAGCGCCGTAAAACCTCTACTAAAACAAAACGAGCAAAACATGAATATCTTAATTTACCCATTTTCTAACTACCTGTACAGGTAAGTGGCCAATCAGCGGGCGGCATCGACACGTCAGTTCTGGCCCTCAGCTCCCAGGCTCGAGGTCTGTTTGACCGCGCTTTTCCCATGAGTGGAGTTCCAGGAGTGGACCATCCTATGGTTCTGGCTAGGGAGCCTGTGGTAATGGCAGACATGCTTGCCAGGTGATCACATGGGATGGGATGAAATGGGATGGGATGGGATGGGATGGGATGAGATTGGATGGGATGGGATGTTGAGAGATGAGATGAGATGGGAAGAGATGAGATGAGATGAGATGGGATGGGAGGAGATGAGATGAGATGGGATGGGGAGAGATGAGATGAAATGGGATGAGATGGGAAGAAAAGGGGTGAGATGGGATAGGATGAGATGAGATGAAAAGGGATGGGATGAGGCAGGGTGGGATGAAATGGGATGAGTTAAGACAGAATGGAATGGAATGGGATGGGACTGGATAGGGTGAGTTAAAATGTGATGGGATTGGATGGGATGAAATGGGATGGGGTGGGACATAATGAGATCTGAAGGGATGGGGTGAGAAGGGATGAGATGGGATGGGTTGTGGTGAAATGGGATGATGATAATTCTAGGGAATAGCAGCGACATTCGAGGATGGCTCAGTTCAGATACACGTCTATACACATTTTAATTTTCAACTTTGAGTAAATGTAACTACTAATAAACATTAAGCTTTAAATTAGAGTAAATTTAATAACTACTAGATCTATACATTTAACCTTTAACTTGGAGTTAATTTAACTATAGCGCGCTCAAAAATTTGTGGCACAACTTCTTGTCAAATATCTCCTCAACTATCCAACAAAAAAGTCTCCAGCTTTTGCACAATGACTTGTATCAAATTGTCTTAACAGATTAACGTTTTGGTAAACACCTGCTAGCTTTATTCTAGAAAGTACCCTAATAAACACTAATAAAAACTCCAATTGGGTGGTTTCTACAGATTTTAAAAGAGTTACACCTAGGGCAATGTTGCTTTTAATAGCAAGTCAGTCATTTTTTTTCTAGTCACGACAGTATGCTCATTGAAGGCATATTTTGAGAACCTTTAGTGCAAAATATACGTTCACTATAACATTGATTTCTTGCAACAAGTTTTGCCACAAAAAAGTATCATTGGTGAGCTGTGACGTAGGCCATATGCATGTGCAAAATGCATGTGAGAAGCGGGAAGTTCTGTGAACAATCCCATTTTGCATGTGACAGAGATTTTTTGTATTTTATATCAATTTATGGAAAAAATGTTATTTCATCTAGCCTCAGTTGTTGTGGTAAAATCTGATAAAGTTTTTAAAAAAAATAATAGAGACGGCTGTGCAAAGTATGGGTGACAGTGATTCGCGCGTTTAAGAGAGATATTTGAAGATAAGTTGCGCCACGAATTTGTGACCATACTATACTAATAAACACTTTCACTTGAACCAATAGTAAATTTAACAACAAATAAACACTTTAACTTTAAATTACAATAAATTTAACTACTACTATTATACATTTAAGCTTTGATTAATAATCAATTTAACTAATAATAAACATTTAACTTTAAACTAAAGTAAATTTAACCACTGAGATACGTTTACACTTCAGCTTAAAGTTAATTTGACTACTAATAAATACTGTAAATTTAACTTACAGTAGCATGTTTGTGTTTCATTTATCTCAACCTTTCTGTTTAAGGGGGAATGCTAGCCTGCAATGGGATTCACCACCAAATTAATTCATTAACTTCACCTTGAGTAGAAAAATGGAGTTTCTATCTATCTCAAGCTCTCAGTTGTATGTAAGTGTGTATTCAGAATTTTTTAAAAACCCATCTCAACCTCTCAGTTATATGGAAACTGTTACTTTACACGGATATAAACATTTACAAATAAATACTGTAACTTACAGTATAATGTTCTATTTTGTTTATCTCAACCTCTCAGTTATATGGAAACTGTTACTTTACACGGATATAAACATTTACAAATAAATACTGTAACTTACAGTAGAATGTTCTATTTTGTTTATCTCAACCTCTCCGTTGTGTGGTAAGTGTATTAAAAAGATAATCTCAACCTCTCTGTTTTATGGTAATTATAACTAGAGGCCGACAAAAATCTCAACATGTAAGTTGTACTGTAACTGTATCCAGAGGGAAAAAAATATCTCAACCTGTCCGTTGTGTGGTATTCGTATTTACAGAAACGATAGCTACATAACCTCTCAGCGTGGGTGGTTGGCGGGTGCTCTGGTGTGGTTTGCTCCTTCTTTTCTATGAAACATCTATCGTCCTTATCTCCCCTTCTTCTTTTTTATGTTTGTTTCTCTCTTGTAACACCTCTAATCTTCTGGCGCTCATATGACCTTATGCAGTTGCGAGCGCCGTAAAATCTCTACTAAAAAACTAACCTCTCAGCTGTAATTAATTGTGTTTAGAGAAATACAATACCCAGACGTGATAGAATCCAACTCCCATATTACAGCACATAACGCTGCCACAACTGGTCTAGTTTCAGCGGCTAAAACATTACCTAAAAATTTGTGGTTAAATTGAT